CCTGCGGACTGAAGGGTCCCAGGTTCAATTCCGATCAAGGGCATGTACCTGGGTTGTGGGCACATACCTAGTAGGGAGTGTGCAGGAGGCAGCTGATTGATGTTTCTCTCTCATCGTTGTTTCTAACTCTCTATCTCTCTTCCTTCCTCTCTGTAAAAAATCAATAAACTATATTAAAAAAAGAAAGAACTTGAGGAACACACCCTAACCTATAAGTAGCGCAAGCAAAACCAGATGGCAACATTGTGGCTTGGCTTCTGTGCCCTGAGGGGTTAACTAAAGGTCCATCTATTCTTGTTGTGTTTATGCAAATAACTGATCAGGGTTAGCTAGCTAGCTTAACTAGGCAGACAGGAGGGGGAGGGGGGGGGTTCAGGAAGGACAGAGGTCTCTTTGGCCTGAGCAATTAAAGCAGCCTTGACCTGAGTAGCTGGGAGAGCCATATTGATAATAAAACACCTTCGGCCAGGACAATGGAGAAAGAACCCTAAGGGAGAGCAAAAGCAACTCCACCCTGAACAGATAAGATGGCTATGTGAAGGGGACCACGTGGGCTTAGAGCTATGGAGCAGAATGACCAATGAGGAAAGCATTGGGGCCCCAAAGTAAGGGAAGGGACCAATTAGAAAAGGTCATGTTCAGACGAAGAGCTACAGCCTTTATAAACCCAGAGACAAAGAGAGATTCAGATTATTTAGATATTTTTATTAGAGAGAGAGAGGGAGGGAGAGCAGGCCTTTTCCAATTGGGGGCCCCTCCCCAGGGGGTCCCGTTTGGGGACATCCCTGCCCAGACGGAGTTTGTATATGCTTCCAATAAACGTCTACATTTTTATTAAAGAAATCTATTAGTCCACAAATTTATTCTTCAACTTTGTTGGAAAAGAACCCACAAGAAGAATCTGCACCCCAAGCCCCAGGTTTCATAATCAGGCCAAATTAAAACTAGATTTAATGAAGTCTCTAATAAAAATGACAGCCATTTTAGGAAGAAAAATTGTGTTTTGATGGAAATCACAATACAGTTGATTGTCTTCAAAGTTTAAAGTTTTGTTTTTAACTGTGAACTGAACTGGTCCCTGAATTTTCCAGATGTCTTCAACCCTCCAACTTAATGTTTCATTTTTTTCTCCCATCCTTTGACTTGGAGTAATTGAGATCTACTGATACAATGTCAATCATAAAGAATCTATGAGCACCTGATGATGTCACCAGAGATATTTAAACTGCAGATAAAGAGGATCTATCAGATTGTCACTGCTTGCTTTCATTCCAGCAAAAGAAACTTTAACCCTTCTTGACTGACAGTCTTACAAACTCAGAAACTGGTTTATAATTTGCTCTGATCATTAACCTTCGTGTTTTTTCTTCTGTTTTCATAGGCAGACCAATTATTAAAGACCTGGGTACTGTTTACACAACACAGGTCTCACTTCGAAAGCCCATCTGCATCACCACCTCCTGAAGTGAGACTCAACGATTTAACAAAACTGACTAATTTTCAGGCTAAATAATTAAATCAATGAAATATGGAGCAATCAATAAAGATGATGATGCTTTGGGGACTCCAGCCTGTCCCTCCTTTGGGAGAATCAGCTAACAGCCTCTGTTCCAGTCTCTGAACATTCCCTGTGTCCCTCAGGTAGGCAGGGAGAGACCTCCGCACCCTGTAGAGGCAGGGCCACAGC